GAAGAAAGCAAATGTCAACTGGAGCAGCAGAGTGCAGGATGGCACGGGGCGCAGAGTGCAGGATGACAGGGGGCTCAGATTGCAGAATGTCAAGGGTGACTCTGGCAGGGACTGAGCTGGGATTCCCAGATGTCAAGAAGCCCCTTTGCTCCATGTTGCTGGATCAGGCTGAGGCTGAGCTTCACACTGCAACACAGTGCAAATTCCTTTGCGTCCAAAGCCCAGCCCCAGCCTAGCCCAGCAACACAGTGTAAAAAGGTAATTGCTGCCGTACTGCAGCTCTGGGGTGGCAAAAAGCCCTTTTGTGCTGTACAGCTGTTCTGTGCTTTGCGCACTTGCTGTGTGTGGTTTGGAGTTCTTGCAGCCCCAGAACCACACTGCACCAAGAAGCCCCTGAGCTGCAGCCTCCTCTTTCTTTCCCCCCAGCTCCCCGCACTCACGTGCATGCACATACCCCACCCCCTCTTTCCCTGGTCTCCCTGAACTTGCACTGCACTGCAACAAGCCCCCTTCTTTATCTGCACCCAGGGCCTCCCCCGGGGCACCTCCAAACTCCTTATTCTGGAACTTGCTCCGCTTCCCACTGAATGAACCAGGTGTCTGGAGTTATGATGGCAACCGAGATGCAGTCACTTAACATTATACTTTACAACTGCATTGATTAGCAACAGTAATTTTGGTCCCAATTATGGTTGTAAGTCCAGGACTAATTTTATTAAGTTTTCGAACATCTTTTCGGCGGTCTTTCATCCTTTCAACTAAGAAGGTATTCTGATTGAGTCTAGTTTTAGTTAAAGGAATCTTTAAAACATAGATCTAGTAGTACCAAATATCCAAATGCAGATATTATAATAAAGATTTTAATTTGGTACATGCACATCTAAGCAAGAAAACTAGAGACATTTTTCTTGGTATGGTATTAATGTGAGTTGACTTCCCCATTCCAGTATGAAATTGAGTGGCACTTTCGTAACAATTTTGATGTTTGCTTTTGCAACAGTGGTCATTCTCTCAATCTTAAATTTTTGACTTTACCACTTTGAGGGCACTATGGTATGTAGCAATAAGACTTTAACCTGCTGTTCTAATGGTTATGATCTGGTTTTAAAATATCGGGGGTGGGGGGTGGGTTTGATCGTTCATGGACATAGAAAGTCATATGCAATCAATTTACCAGGTGTGTATCGATCTATATGATAAGATAAAATAACGGCTGAAATGTTTGTTTCTCTTTGAGCCACCAGTAAAACAGATTGTAACAATTCAAGCTTGGACTGACTTCAGTTGTAAAACTTTTGGAGGAAAAATGGGGTGTAAATCTGTGACCACACATGTGAATCAGATGGTATGCATTTATGTCAAAAGACTGCCTTCCCCTTCCCAGGCTTTTAACTGTGCACAGATTTTCGTTTCAGAGCAAAAGAGTAAAAATACTTATTCAAACTTAATGATGTGATTTAGAGAACTAATTCTAAATATATGAGAGCAGAAAAATGCATACTGAATTCATGCTTGTTTGTTATATGTTCTGTCCTGCAGAACAGAACAGTAGAGTTAAAGCTGGTAGATACAAAAGAAAAAAAAACTGTTGTAGTGTTTGAGAAGAAGTTAAAACTGTTTTTGCTTTTAAATTGGCATATTTTCTGGGGTTTTTTAACTTATTTATTAAAATACAGGCAGTTCTTGACTTACCACCACAGTTGGGATTAGAATTTTGGTGGCTAAGCAGTCACAAAGCAAAGCATCATGTGATCATATCACTTAGTGACTGCAATCCCCGCAATTCCCATTGCCCTCACTGAGCAAATTTTACCATTCATTAGCCAAATACCCAAATCCAAGCCATTCCAAACTTGGTCCCTCCCAGCCTCAACAGTTTGACATTGCCACCAACTTCCCCCACCTACCTAACCCCTTCCCCCTCTGCCCTTTCAGCCCTGGCATCCTGCTCTCTACTGCCCCAACTCAGCTTCGCTGCCATTTTCTTATTCCGTTACTGGCAAGGCATGACCAGCCTGACTGCTGGGCTATAGACAACTGGCTTTTCAAGGCAAAAAAAAAAAAAGAGGGGAGGGGAAGCATCTTAAAGAGGCTGGAGGGTGCCAAACGCGCTTCTTTGCACTATGCTCCTAGCCCTAGGCCATACGGGGCTGATTTTGCATTATGAAAATGGGAGAAAAAAGCCAAAAGCAAACTGCCATCCCTCTTTTTTTCCTTTTTTTTTGCACCACAAGGCCAGTCAGTCTTGCTCAGGAGCTCTTTGCAAAGATGCAGTGCAGGGAATGGTTTCACCCAATGGGAAAATGCAGGATTGGCTCAGCTTCTCTTACATGTGGCTCCCTGAGCCAACCCCCAGCTATTTCCTATTGGGCGAAACCACTTCCTGGCATTCTTATTTTCACTGCACTGCTGGGCAGTAATAATAATTGTTGGCTATAGAGACCATGAGGAAAAAGAAGAACGAACAAGAGGCGCGCCTGTGGTGAAAGCAGAGCAGTAGCGTTATGGAAGTGGCATGGCCAGCCAATGAAAAGTGAGGGGGGAGAGGAGAGTGAAGGTCAGCTGGGTGCATCAGAGTCTGTGGAGTGCGTGGCAGTGGGGTTTTTGCACTGTGGCACTGGAGTGGCTAGCTACGGTGTGGAGCTTGAGGCGGCACTCAGCACCGACACTGGGACTGAAGTAGAGGCCTGGGAGCAGTGGCAGCTGGCTGAGACTGCTGAAGGCTCTGGGTCTCTAATTCAGCCTCAATGCTGATGCTGCCAAGGAATGCCTCTGTGCAGGGCACCAAAAAGAGCAGAAATTGGGTGAATATAAGCAGGTGGAAGGACTTGAAGCACCCCTGTGGTCATAAGTATGAGTGGGCTACCAAATGCCCAAATTCTTTTTTTTAATAATATTTTATTAATTTTCCAATTTTACATTTAAGTATTTAAAAAGCAACATGGTGGCTGGGTTAATCAATAGTTCAATAACATACAAAAATCTTTAGTACAAATCTCAAGTTACAACATCAAATATTTCCTCTCTTTTTCCCTTAATATCTACTATCTCATAGTTAAGCTAATACAGTCCTTATTATATCAACTAAGTAAAAACATCATTATTACATTTATCAATAATTTTTTAGCTTATACATATCTTAATTACTTTTACATTCCATCTTTATCAACAATGTATTCATTAAATCATCTCCCTATTATTCCAATTCCCCATGATTGTCCTGATATGTTTATTTTCCATTCAATCTGTTCTTCTTTCTCAAATTTCTTCTGATTTATATAGAAAGTTTTCCATTTTCAGTGTTGTCACTCCCTTTTCTGGATTTTTCATTAACTGTATTTGTTGATCAATTGAGTCCTCTGTCTTAATATTTGATTGTTCCACTTCTTCTGTTATCTTCTGCGTTGTTAGTTCTTTGATTGTAGTCAAAATTTGGGTTTATGTATCTAAGCTGGCATCTTGTTCTTTTATGTTGGGTCTTATTTTGTCACAAACTGAAAGAATGGTTTCATGTATTGCTTTCAACATGGAAAGGATCTTTTCCTGGTCTTCATCCATATTCTCTTAATAATGTGTTAAGTTGAGGACTTTAAAATCAGACATTAAAAATAATTTTATAACTAGGTATGAGACCTCTATTTCACGTGTTTATAGGTAGTCTTTATAGTAGAAGTCGTTTGTCAAGTAAGATTTTATAGTCCAAGGTATTTCATCATCTCATATAATAACCAATGTTTCTCAAATAAAGAGATAGAAAGGCAATTCCCCACATATAACTCTGAAAGTCAGTAAAGGTTTACATTCATAGTTCAAGCAGGCCAGTTATGCCGCCCAGAAGTTCTCTTTACAGCTGTTTCTCACAGGTGGTATCAAGATCGAAAGAGTTTTATCTAAAGTCTGGCCTTCAAGCCAAATCTCTTTTTAGGCAATAACAAGTTGTAATACCAAACTTCACCACAAGATGTCACTGATGCTGTTTAAAACTTTTTAAGTCCCCTGTTTTTATAATAGTTTTTCAAAGTTTATTTCTTTTTTTAAAATAAAAATCAACGTATCCAGTAGAAATAGAAATAAGAAAACTTGTAAGAAAACTTTTTTGAAAGTTTATGCATCCAATTAGATTAAAGTTGTTTATTATAATTGCTTTGTTTCCCCTGGGTAGTCAGTCGCCACTGTTCTTAGAGGGTGGGGCAGGAATTCCCTTCCCTCTCTCCTCACAGGGGGAAAACTACTTAGGGCAGCTTTTGCCGGAAAGATATTTAGAGTCTTAAAGAGAAGATCAGATCGCACCCAGTTTCATCCGCGTTGCTTTAAAGGTGCTTGGTAGTAATTTTGACTTCGGCTGTCAGCAGCTTAATGATGAGCCATATTGCTATCACCGGTCTTTCCCCTGCCGGTTTGGAGAGCTGCCCCAGATCAAGCGGAAGGGCTGCCGTCCTCCCACGATCAAGCGGGGATGCCCCTCCTCGCTTGTTGTCCCTACAGGGCAACTTTCGACCCTTTCTAGAGTCCCCCAGTGGGATGAAATTGGACGCTGAAGACTGAATTTGCCTCCATGCGTCCCCCGGAGGTGCCAATGGCAAACCGGAAGCCCCCAAATGCCCAAATTCTGATCACAGGACCACAGGGGTGCTGCAACGGCCTGTAAGTTTGGATGCAGTTTGTAAGTCCCTTCACTGAGCACTGTCATAACTTCGAACAGTTGCTGAATGAATGATAAGTCAAGGACTCCCGGTATACTAATTCAAACCATCCCCTGTCACTTGAAACAAATTAGGAAGAGTTGTCATTTCAACTTTATGTAGCTATATAGTGCGATCTCTGTATCCAGCAAGTGATAAAATTAACACAAAGACACTTCTAACTTATTTAAAAACACAAAATACTTTAGGAATCTCATCTGAAATTTGTATAGGTCATATTAGCTTGTGAATTTTGTTTACATAATACCGGAATCTAAGATCTAAGAATCTAAGATCATATTTCTTCTTTTTGTTTAGGAAATGACAAAAGTGTGCCAAGATTCTTGATTAGAGAAGTGGAATTTGAGAAAAGGGATCTAACTAGGCTCATGTTTTCGCCTGATCAAGAAAATCATCCATCAAAAGCACCAGTGAAATATGGTGAACTGATTGTGTTGGGGTAAGTATTCTGACATCCAAACCTCTGAAACAGGGGTGTCAAACTGCCGCCCCACGGGCCGGATGCGTCAGCACAGGAGATTATTTATTCTTTAAATAAAGGTAAAATGAAACAGTGGCTCAATTTGCCCCATTCTACAAATTATACAGGGTATATAATGAATGAAAACTAATTGAAAATGATACAGCATTCCTATTACATTAGGCAAATCTGTGATTTCGGCATTCATTTTGAACCTGTTTGATATGTTTTAGGAATGCATAAGACTTTATATTTAGTAGATTTAACAAAATACTCATGTAAAGTATATAACTTGAAAAGTGTTTATTGGCTTTTTTATAATAACATCACTGGATGTGAACCATCAAAGCAATCTATTTCTGACAAGGCTTTTAGCAAATATTTCATAAGTTGGTTGCTAAATAGGAAAATATAATTGTAATTCTGCAACACAAAGTGCTGTATCATTTTCATATTTGGCTCTTAAATGCATCTATGCACCTCTGACATTTTGTAGTTTGTTGTTTGCTTGATTTTTCTTTAGAGAGATGTGTTCTTACCATCCATTATGGACATGTTCAAAAAGTATCATGCATACTGCAGTAATATTTTAAAATATTTAGAAAGTTATACTTTATTTCTAAAATCTTCAGTTTTGCAGTATTATGTACAAATTAATTCTGAGCCTTTATCACCTAATAACCCTCCCATCTCTTTAATTCTTCCCTGCACTGTTTTCTACAGATATAATGGCTCCCTGCCAAATGGAGATAGAGGAAGAAGAAAAAGCAGGTTTGCTTTATTTAAAAGACCTAAAGCAAATGGGGTGAAACCTAGTACAGTGCATATTGCCTGTACACCTCAGGCAGCCAAGGTAAGCTTGATTAATGAGGTACCATCAGTAATAGCAGACTTTTTTTTACTTCATCTACCACTGTAAATTAACAGCAGTTTCTATCAATGAAATTGTATTGTGTGTGTTTTAAGATGGCATCAGGCAGGCATTATGTTGATAGTGCAGCGGTTCTCAACCTATGGGTCGCGACCCCATTTGGGGTCGATCGACCATTTCACAGGGGTCGCCAAGCAAGGCTGTCCGCCATTTTTTCCCCCTTTTCTGGCGGATGCCTTACCTCCCTTGAGCTGGGCCAGCTGGTGGTCAGCCTGCTCCGTCTCTGCCGCTTGCCAGCTACGCCTCGGCCGGTGCAGGGGATGGAACCACGCATGTGCGGCACTCCCGGGCAGGGAAAGTCCTCGACTTACGACCGGTTGGGTAGTCCTCAACTTACGACCGGTTTAGTCCTCGACTTATGACCAGTTTAGTCCTCGACTTACGACCGGTCTAGTCCTCGACTTACGACCGGTTGGGGGTCACGGCATTAAAAAGGTTGAAAACCACTGTGATAGTGGATGGTTGTTTGGGGTGAAGATGTTGTGGTCAGATGATGATAGATAAATGGATATATAATTGCTAAGTGCAGTGAGTTAATAGAAATTCATCTTTAATTGCGTACCCTGCCTAATATTATAGAACAGGCAGAGTTTACTCTTAGGAATAGAGTATTCTTTGGAAAATTGCAGAGACCAGAACTAGATCATCTTAAACCAGTGTTTTTCTACCTTAGCAACTTTAAGATATGTAGACTTCAACTCCCAGAAATCCACACATCTTAAAGTTGCTAAGGTTAAGAAACACTGTCTTAAACAGTTCTCTCTGTCTTTTCTGATGCTGGGGTTGATAGGCAGACTGTGATCAAACTTCTGGAATGCTGATAGCAAGCAAGTCCATTTTTAACTGTTGACCGAGTACATGTTGCATTTTAATTTCACTGTACCTTTCTGTGTGTTGTGATTAAATTATGCCTAATTCCTGCCCATTTCTTTGCTTCCTTTTCTTCACGAACAGCAATTTAATTTTTGTTGAGTGTGGTTTATGATATTGTTCACTCAAAAACAGTGGTTAAACAGTTTAAGCCATGGCTTAAGATAGCTTCTTATAATACAGCATACTTTATTAAGCAGTTTAGGTTTTGCATGCCATGTCTAAATATTACATGAGGGATGCCAGACTGCACATGAATAGGGGAGGGAGAAGTGTGTAAATCTTGAAGGCCAGTGTTGGTAATAAATAATAAATATGATCATGTCTGCAGACTAGAATAGTTCAGTAATTAAAATTATTTCATATGTAGATAAGAAATAGCCCGTTATTAAGAAAAACCTTCATATACATGAATACAATATGTAAAAGTCATATTGGTTGTACTTGGAAGTAACCTTTGCATATAGAAGGGTTCATTTTTATTAGCTTTGGCTGCTGTAATCAGAAATGAAGATTATTATTTTGGATAGTGATGTTTAAACTAAGTAAAGATTTGTGTCATATTTCCCATATAATTTTATTCCTTTATCTTGTTTCTTATTTATTTATCCTAAGTGTTTATGCCATCCCATAATCATAAAAGAGGCATGAATACTAATATATGGTATACTACAATGGGGCTCCAACAATATGAGTACAGTATTAGTGGTAAGAGGAGAACTGTAAAACCTACCCCGTTGAGAAGTTTCTTTTCGAGTCACGGTAAACGATTTCTTCTTCGGAAATGACCGTTTTCTGGGGTAGAAGAATGACGTAAAAAGTCTGATATTCGAACTTGAGTATTACCGTCACTGGTAGATATTTACTTAGACACCACCGTAGAGTGGTGGATATCTACTTAGTTCTATAGACGGTGTCGACAAGTTATACAGCTTTAGGCTGTCAGATCTGTGTAGTAGCTCTTTCTCCACTTTGAGGGAATTTCTATTGTCTTTATTTCATAATAGCACCCTTTTTGTCTAATGAATGTATTGATCACATTTTTAAAAAGCTGTTAAACTTTAAAACCTTCTTTTTTACCCCAGTGTTCTGAGAGGATGGGGTAGAGGTAACGTTGTCCCATCATGTTCAGGGCCTCATCTTTTTGTGCCTAATTTTTGTGACATATGAATGCCTTGAGGATCTTAATCATTCAGTGTGTCTAGGCCAACATATGGCTAATAGTAGCCATGACTAATGGGCTTATCTCATAGCAACATATGTTCTATTGTGAAATATTAAATGGGACCAGTTGGGACTGTTTTCTTGAATACATCAGTCATGCATTAAAAAAAAAGTTTCTCTACAGTTCATTGTTTTGAAGTGACACACCTGCACATAATTAGCATCAGTAAGTTCAGAGTTTCAGTAAGCATAACAAGAGGCCAGTAATACTAATTTCAAATGCAAGCTTTGCATATGGTTGTGGACTGGGAAATAATGAAGGGTCTTTATAGCAGCTTCTGAAAGAGCTGGCACTCAAAGCACAAGAATACATGTAAATGGCATGCAACCTGTTTGTAATTCACTCTCCTTTGTTTATGTCACAGAATTCTGTTTGGAGATGGTAATGCCATAGCATTTCCTCCATAGTTGAATAAAATATGCTCATTGTAATTTATTTCATGATCCATGGTTTTCAGGGAACTTACTTTGGAGTCTGAATCCTGATTCCCTTCATTGGTTTTCCTCAATTTAGTGCCTTCCAGCTATCAGAATAAACTAGTACAGTATACAGAGGTTGTTTCAGCCTTGTAAGGAATTTGGTACATGAGAATTGCACACATTGTAAATTCCTCTGTGATTTGCAAAACATGAGCCTTCCTTGGATGGTTTGCACACTACACTAAGTTTAAAAACAGGTACCTATCACATTAAGGTTTGGCGTGATGTATGGGCTTCTCAGGATACCATAGTCACAGTGATTCAAAATCTGCAAAATGAAGGGTTATAATGCAGAAGTCTGAACTCAATTTGCTTTGGGCTGTCAGTATTGTGAACTTCAAAATAACCAATATGTGCTTGACTTGCCAGAAGTGGGTGGGAATAATGTATGAATAATGTCACAGCTAGTGGCCACGTGGCAGGAGTGGGAATGATGATAGTCATATTGCAGGGCAACAATTTATGAGTGACTGGTTCACAGCATGAGAAATGGGGAGAGACCAACATACTTAGGCTAGATGGCATTAGTAACAACTGTAACATGCTTAGCAGAATTGCTCAGAAGAACAGCTGCCTTTATGATGGAAAAGTGGGGGAGTGAGTCATGCAAAGAATGATTGGTTTTGTTGCATTACAAAGGAACAGCCATAAAAAGCTGAGGGTTAGCTCTGAGAGAAGATGCTCTTTAAAAGTTTTCTTCCAAGAAACTGCCACAGGTCCCTGATTGTGCATCTTCTTAAATCTCTCTCTCTCTCTCTCTCTCTCTCTCTCTCTCTCTCTCTCTCTCTCTGTATATATAT